ATTAATATGATTAATTCTTATTCATTGCCAATCACATATTAAATTGTTTTATTAATGCGAAGTGTGTAGATAAAATATCTACAAATGCAATTCAGTATAATTAATTGGCAAAAAAAAACATGGAAAATAAATTAGTGGTCAAACAGTTTTATTTACAACTGCTTAGGTGTATATATATATATATATATATATATATATATATATATATATATATATGTATATGTGTGTATATGTGTGTGTGTGTATTTATAAATGGTCACTGAGGTCAATACAAAGCCACTGACAGGCCTGAAAGTTACATTTAAGCATGAGACAGACTACTGCCACCAGTTGTTGGCCTCTACACTTTTATATTTATACATGCTCTATCCTTGATATTGATCACTTTAAGCCATAAATATAGCATACCATAAAACTATACTTTTATCGTATATATATATATATATATATATATATATATATATATATATATTCTTGTCTCATTGAAAAATGATACAGGTGTTTAAAAAATTCTGAATTTAAAATCTTTCTCTGCTTCAATTTAGTATAGAGTCCTACCAATATATATATATATATATATATATATATATATATATATATATATATATATATATATATCATCAATCTTATTGACAATATTTTTTCTTTTTTGTTGTCTGTTTATTCTTCAAATTTCATTAACAGGCCTAGGAAATACAGGGTGTATCAAAAATATTTTTATAAACTTTGGGGACAGGTTCCTCACACCAAAACAAGGATGAAGTCCATATAAACACATGTCTGCAAATCCTTCATTTTTGAGTTATTAAGTTTAAAGAAAGTTTACAGTAGATGGTGCTGTGTTGCCATATAGACTAGGCTACATTTGACATTTGTGTACATTTGTGTCTAGTCTGTCTTCAATTTTTAATATATGAAGTAATGAGTTAACTGAGAAGTGTTCTGTTTAACAATGATAGTATATTCATATTGTGACCAGGCAGATTTCTACATATGGCTGTGTTAATGGTAATGGCCATGAGGCTGCACAGCTATATCAGATTATATTTTCAGATCGATGACAGTTGAGTCATTCAACCTTTTCTACTGTTTATCATCATATTGCAGAGACAAGATCTGTGGCACCAAAAACTATGAATCAAGGAAGACTGAGTTCTGCTCATGTCTGACCATAAAGAAAACATTCTACAGGCTGTCAGAGATGGTCCAAGTATCAGCATACCTCAAGTGGTCTTAGCACTTCGTACATCTCATAGTACTACATGGAGGGTACTTCAAGAGCAGTTCCTATATCCATATCATTTGCAACATGTACAGGGTTATTCACCCTCTAATCACTCACCACAGTAGAACTTTTGCCGATAGTTTATTGCACAAACTGTCAATCCATTGTTTGTCTCTTCAGTCTTGTTAACGGATGAGGCAACATTTGGAAGATATGGAATAACACATTTACACAACCAACATTTGTGGGTGGATCAGAATCCCCATGGTACATTACAGGTTAGATACCAGCATCAATTTATGACTAATATGTGGGCTAGAATTGTAGGTGCCTGTCTGGAAGGTCCATATGTTCTCCCAGGAGCTGTCTACAGGGACTTTATTTTGAACAAACTTCCAGATCCACTAGAGGATGTATCCCTGCTAATACAGATACATGTAGTTTATGCATGATGGGACTCCAGCACATTTTAGTCACATTGTTCATGGTACACTGGCTGACATCTACCATAAAAGAGCGATAGCTAGGGGGGGGGGGTCAGTTCCATGGCCTGCATGGTCCCCCAACCTCAATCCTTTGGATTTTTACCTGTGGGGCAACCTAATACAATTGATTTATGCAGCAGACATTAATAAAGACACTTCATCAATGTATCATGGGTGCCTGCAAAACCATTAAATACCATGTGGGAGTATTTGAAAGGGTCCACCAGTCAATGATCCGACGAGTGCAGACATGTGTAGAAGCAAGCAGAGGACATTTTGAGCATTTGTTATGAGTTGCTGTGTTAAAATACAACATTGGCCTTTTGAACATATGTTTATATGGACATTTTACCTTGTTTTGGTGTGAGGAACATGTCCCCAAATTTTTTTTAAAAGTATGTTTGATGCACCATATACATATTTCTTTCTCTCACGTGGTCATGTACGACATCTTAGAACCACATTGTGAATTTACGACCTCAGCTATTCCATGACTGTTATTATTACTTAGCAAACTTCTATGTAAACAAAACAGGATGTCATATTTGACAGTGAAAATCTATTGTAATGTTTATATAACCACATCTGATTATGACTCATGTGAGCCTAAAGCTTAGATCAACAACCAATATAATAAAAACATATCCAAATGTTGGCCAGTTTTTGTCTTTATTTTCTCTTGAAATTAAAGTCATTATATGACACTTGGAACAGTTCATGATAAAACAATTGTTGAGATGTTGTGAGTTTCCCGCGTGTCGGTGTATGAATCAAGACAAACACAGTTGTAGAGGAAAATACTGGTATATTCATAAACGCAATTAACAATAGAGTGATTAGTAGAACGAAGGTTGGTTAGTACGAAACAATATCCAAAGTCTATAGTCCAACGGTATGTACCGGGTAAGCTTATCTGGACTGCTCACGCTGACTCTCTCTCTGACGCTCTGTCACTCTCTCTCCAGAGCTGACTTATATAAGAGGGACCAGTCCATTACTAGTTAGAAGGTGGGTGCGCCCCAACAATAATAGACATTTGTTGTCTGTTATATTTAACAATATATATATATATATATATATATATATACAAATGTTTGGAGGTACAAAATTTATATATAGTTTTAAAAACAAGGAATGCATTGATTTTAATTTTAAAAGTCTCTAGGGCCCTTTCAACCAACATCTCATCAGGAGACAATCGTTGGATCTGCGAAAAGAATAACAATAATGAAGAGCAAAAAGAGGGGGAAACATACTAAAATAACAAACAAGTATATATATATATATATATATATATATATAATTAAGGAACCTCAATATCACAAGTTCCTTTCATACCAGCTGCTGCCTTTCTGACCATGCTCTCCTTCATAGTAAGGCTTCCTTTTAGCTTGTTCCCAGGAGACTGCAAAAGACATCTGTGCCTAAGGTGATAAATACCGTAGCTTTAAAATCACCAGAAAAACAAAGTGAGCTCTGCAGCAAGCTGGATACTGCTCTGAATGCTCTAAAGGTTACTAACAATATTGAATCATAATGGAAAACATTATGAGATACAGTGTATACTGCTTCTTTTGAGTTGCTTTTATTGCCGGTTTGGAAAACACAAGGACTGGTTTGATGAAAGCAACACTGAATTTCAGTTACTCATAGAGTAAATGCACAACTCACACAAAGCATGGATTAATGATAAAACTCTTCTGCAAAGATGACTCAGTACCTGAAGTACAAAAGTGAGGTTCAGTGATCTCTCAAGAAAATAAAGGAGGCTACAGAACTTCAGGAAGCAGAAATAGGGAGAACTTCAAATCCTTCTTTCATTAAGATCTATGGTCTAGAGAGAACAGAATCACACTAGTACTCTCCTCAAATGGACAGACGCTTCTGTCAGACAAGTCTGATATCATGCACAGCTAGAAGCAGCACTTCACATCTGTTGTTAATACACCATCTGTCACTGATGAAGACGTTATTGCAGTCTTTTCCCAAAGTCCTGAAATACAAGAAATGTCTTTTGAGTCCATCTTGCAGGAAGTCTTAGACTCCATCAAACAAATCTCTTTAGGCAAAGCACCTGGAATGGATGCTTTTCTGCTCAAAATCTACAAAATCTATGGTGGTAAAAAGTTAGTCAAAAAGCTACACAACACTTCAAAGTAATATGGAGAGCTGGATATGTTCCCCAAGATTACAAGGATGCCTTAATTTAACACCTATACTAGAACAAAGGTAATAGAATTGTTTGTGAAAACTACTGGGGAATATCTCTGCTGTTAATTGCTTTATTAATTTTTTTTTAGCAAGACTGTTTCTAAACAGAATTATCAAGTATGTTGCCAATGAGATTTACCCAGAATCACAGTATAGTTTCATGTCCGTTAGTGGCAGTACTGACATGATCTTCTTACTCTGTCAGGTAGCCAGAAGGTGCATGAAAAGAACCAGGACTTGTATAGGGTGTTTGTTGACCTTACTATGGCCTTCGACACTGTAAATCGTGAAGCACTCTGTAAAGTTCTTAAAAAGCTTGGAATCCCAGACAAAATATTGAATATTACAATCTCCTTTCAAGTGGGGATGAACACTGCTGTTGCATTTGATGGGGAATTCTCTGATTCCTTTGATGTTACAAATGGCACAAAGCAATTTTGTGTCATAGCCCTTGTTGTCTTTACTTTATCCTTTTCAGTAATGCTCAAATATACCTTTGGTGACATGGACACTGGTGTTAAATTTCAGTTTTGAACTTCTCTACCATCAGTGGTTCAAAGCTAAAATACTTCTTCATACTAGTGTCATTCATTATTAGCTGTTTGCTGATGAGGATGCACTTGTAGCAGCATCCCTAGGGGAAGCCCAAGAACTTGTCAACTGTTTCTCTGTTGCATGCAAAGCTCTTGGCTTTACCATTAGCATAGAGAAAACAGAGGTAATCTACCAGCCACCTCTTTGTCCAAAGCAGATTTGAGTTATCTGACAACCTCCACCAGTTCATCAATTTCCAGACACTCATATACATATCGAGGGGAAGAGTATATGAAATCAATTACATATTTAGGAAGTAAGATGAATGCAAATGTATCCCTTGATGATGAACCTGGATTGCCAAAGCTACAAGTGCATCAAGGAAGCTTTGCTAACACCTATGGAATAAGAGAGTTATCAAATTGGACACTAAAATACATGATTATAGAGTAGCCGTTTTGTCTACACTGTTGTACTGTACAGAATCATGGGCCCTATAAAGGTCCTATATCAATTAACTAAATGTCTTCCACAAAAGTTTTTACCACGACAGTAGAGAAAAGAGAGACTGTAAAAGGAGGAAGTAAAGAAAAAACTGAAAAAGAGGGGTTAAAAGTTGTGATCTGTGGCTATACTTTTAATAATAGGATGTGCAATGCTGATCTTCTCATGAAATACAACATTGGTGGAATTGAGACTTTCCTAAATACTATTACTTTGCTGGGCTAGTCATGTTATAAACATGAGTCACAACAGAATACCTAACGTCCTCAAACATAGCCAACTTGATAGGGAACAAAAGACTGTTGGACAGCCATGGCTCATGTATAAAGAGTGATTCTCTCAGCTGTCAATGTCCCTAATATTAACTTCAAGTGAGTTACCCTGGATAGAAATAATTGGAAATATTTGTGGCAGAATGGTATCAGAAATTTTGAAATCAGTTGTATTAACCGGCTACGAGATGAAAGACAACAGCAAAAAGCATCAGGAAATATTCCTATGTCCCGAGATCCTCATTTTTTCACAATATGTGGACTCGGATGCAGGTCTCTAGTGGGAACTAAAGTGACGCAAACGTAAAAATTGAATCAATATCATGGATAGAGCATATGTAAATATAAAAGTGTACCATGAGGCCAACACCTAGCAGCACCAGTCTGCATAAATGCAATCTTCATTCATTACAATAAAGTATTGATAAATATGGAAACAGAATAATTAATATATTATTAATTCACATATTAAACTGTTTGATTAATGTCAAGTATATAGATAAAATGTCATCAAATGCCATTCAGTATGATTAACTGAAAAAAATATGGAAAGTAACTTAGAGGTCAAACAGTTTTATGTACAACTTTTTGTGTGTGTTTAAGGTTTTATATATATATGTGTGTGTGTGTGTTGTGAATCTGATCCAAGTTGGACTAAAAGCAGTGGCAAACTAAATTTACACGTGTAATTGACAGGTTGTCATTACCTGTAGAGGTGAAAAGAAATGGAATAAATTTCAACCAGGTGATTTTTTCATGTTTTATAAATGTCTAACAACAAATGAAATTCATTCAAAAATTGCTGAAAAGAAAGAAGACATTCAAATTTAGCAATTAGGAATTGTGTGTGTATCTGGATGTGCATGTGATACAGGTGTGCGTATGAAAGAATTCAGACACCTGGGACATGATATCCTCAAGCTGAGGACGAGTTCAGTGTTGGTGTTTCTACTACTGCATACTGAAAAAAAAAGAAGGAAAAAAAAAAAAAGGAAGTGTCCCGTTTTTATCGCTCCCTAAACAGTGCCACTTATAGAATCTTAGCAAAAAATGTCGACCAAATGAACAACACAAAATTTTGTGGGGCTGTCATCTTGGTCAGGCCAAGAATGTTTCATCCCCATATATGTATGGCTACACATTGCATTTTATATAATTTAACTATACAAAATCATATCATTTTTATGGGTATTCTGCTAGTTTTCTTACACTATTAAAATATGATATATTTAAGCAATTGGAATTGTTTTTGTTCTTTTGTTTGTTTTTTTTAATCATTTTACCCCAAGCAAGTTGGGAATGCCACAAGTACACAAGGAGTGAAAGAGAAAGAAAAAACTGATAATAGGATGAATTGAGGAAAGGACAAAAGATGAACGAGGTTCAAGAAGACAGAAGATGCTGATTGATGTTGCATTTAAATTTTTGACGATTATACTTATCAGGGAAGCGAGTAAATGAGAGGGAGTTCCATGGGCAGGAAGTGTAAGAAAAGTAACTGTAGGTGTAGAAGTAGCAGTTGCATTTAACTATTTCAACAGTAAATGGTGTACGCAGCCTTGAGGCCAATCTAGTAGCAAGCTTAAATACATGTAGTCAAGGCACCAGGAAAAAAAGCTCATCAGAGCAGTTGCCATGAAAATATTTGTAGAAAAGACAGAGAGGAAGTGACTGAAGTCGAGATGCTAAGATCCTTCTTTGGATTTTGTCAACGATCTTAAGGTGTACTGCAGGAGCACCAGACCAGATATGGCAGCAGAATTCAATGCACGTTCTATTGGTGGATTTATAAATATACAAGATGGATCCTGATGAGAAAAATTATCTGGTACGACACAGTGAACCAACTTTCCTAGCAGTAGATGCAGCTATTGATTTGGCATAATTGCTCTACTTCAAGTCAATGGAAAATGTGAAGCCAAGAAGTCACAGTGTGTTGCTCTCCTGGAGTCTAGCATCTGCTATGCTGATGACACAGAAAATTTTCTCTATGGTGGTTAAATGAGAGCAGATTTGTTTTGGAAGCATTAAAATTAACAAGCCATTTCTTGCCCCTGTTAACTACTGATTGGAGGTCCTTTTCAAAGCAGCTTCCAGGTTTACTTTGTCAGATATGACAGATTTACTATTGAGATAGGAGTAAATAGTAGTGACATCTGTATAAATACATACTTGGGAACTAATGTCATTGGAGAGATCATTGATGAAGATCAAAAACAGCATTGTGTTGGTCTTTATTTTCATGTTTATCTTTAATATTTACTGGATATGAAATCAAGTAAATAATATTATATTCAGCATTGTAAAAATTATGAAGTTTTCCTTCACACAAATTGCAGCTGATAGCATGTGTTTGAGAAATTGACATCAGTCGTGTTAGTGAGTTCAGAGTACCAGAAGATCTGTTGACTAAAATTCTTTTAAAATCACGTGAGTAAAAGAAAGAAGATAGTGATAAACTGAAAGAAAAATAGTGAGGAATATTGGGAGAGAAAAAGAAACTGAAAGAGAAAGAGGGAATGAGATAGACATGGAGAGAGAGAGAAATCATTAGAGGAAGAAAGAAAGAAATTATAACTGAAAACTGATAAAGTGGGTAAATGACAAATTGAAAAAGGTGGGGAAAGGAACTGAAAATGAGGGAGAAAAAAAGAGAAACTAAAAAAGAAGGGGGGATGGAGGAACTGAAAAGAGAGGAATAAAAGGGAAAAGAAAAAAGAGACGGAAAAGAAAAACTACATAAGGAGGAGGAAAGAGAAACTGAAGATAAGAGGGAAAGAGAAAATGAAAAACAGTAAAGAAAAGAGGAAGAGAAAAAGAGAAGGAAAAGAGAAAAGAGAAAAAAGAGGGAGTAAAGAAAACACTGAAAAAGAGGGGTAAAGAAAAATTGAAAAAAAAGGGGGGATATACAAAATAAGACAGGGGGAATGATAAAGAGAGGGCTATGAGAAATTGAAAAATATTGGGAAAATGAAAAACTAAAAAAAGAAGTGGAAAGAGAAATTAAAAAGAGGGGGAAGAGAAATGGAAAAAAGGAGAGAAAAAGAGAAACTGAAAAAGAAAGCGGAGAAAGAAAATAAAAGGATTAAAAAAGAGAGAAATTGAGAAAGAGAGAAAGAGCACAAATTTCTGAAGAGAAGAGAGACAACTAAAATATAGCAAACTAGACAGAGAGAGAGAGAGAGAGACATAACAGAACAAGAATAATGGAGGAATCAAGTAGCATTGTCTCCCTAGATATTTGTACCTGCAGAAAACAAATATATTTTGAAATATGATATACAGATCCAGACCTCATTGCTGGAAGATGAATTGAAGTGTGAAACTGACAGTTCACCATGCAATGTGGATTCCTAGATACCTAAAATCTATAAACATTATGTCCAATAATGTGGATTATATAAATATAGCAAATGATAATATATATATATATATATATATATATATATATATATATATATATATATATATATATATCAGCAGCTTTATTTTGTATCCAAGAATTTAATTTCTCCTTTTTCTGATTCCCTTATGATGATGGTGTTGATGACTTAGACCAATTCTTGCATGGAAGAACTGATGGCATTGACTGCATGGTAATGTTGGTAGAGGACAAGGTCAATTTTGTCAAGGGTTTTTCTCTTGTCATGAGTTGGTCCTTTATTTTCGAAAAAAGCCAGCTATATATATATATATATATATATATATATATATATATATATATATACACACACACATATATATATATATATATATATATATATACACACACACACAAACACATTATATATATATATATATATATATATATATATATATATATATATACACACAAAAACAATATTATATATATATATGTATATATATATATATCTTCTATCTTTAAAAGGCAGGATGTGAGTGTGTGTGTAACGAATGCATGGCTGCAATTTTCAACGGATTTGCACCAAAATTTACATGCACATGATCCAAGTTAGTGGGAAGGACAAAATCGGCTTTGCATTTCCCAACTCCCATCGATAGTGGAAATAATTGATTTTTTTCATGCTTCTACAGCAGTTTTCATGTAGTTTGCAGCTATTTTTCGACTGGCCACAGTGAGAGCCTATAGCTGGCTGCCAACAAATAGGCAGGAAGATTCTATTGGCCAGCGTGAGAGCCAACAGCTGACTGACACGAATGTTAACTAGCATGCTAGTATGCAAAAAAATCAATAGCTGCATTCGTCACAAGTGGAAAAAATTTAAATCTGCATGGCACTTTACTCCAATTGGCTCATTCGCTTGCTTAAATTCAATGTTGATTCTGATTTCGCAGAACTGGGTTGGGTGTGAAAAAGTATTTGTTTTTAACATTCTTTTTTCATTCAGTTTTTCCAGTTATGAGTCCTTTTTTAAAGCTGATTGTTTTGTGTTCATTTTGTTTAGTTCTTTTTTGTAACTGATTTAATGTTTAGTATAGAGCTTAGAAAAAAATTGCAGTGTGAGATAGGCAAGAAGTAAGGCATGTAGCAACATCAGCACAGCAAAGGGCACTCTTTTAAAGACAAGGAAGGGCAAAAATATTTTAAGACAAGTGATAGCAATTGCTGTATGAGTCATACGATTTTTTGAATCAAGCATGGGCAATGCCGGGCCATGCTGCTAGTATATATATATATATATATATATATATATATATATATATATAAAAAACAAATGCAAAACATTTATCAATCTAACAGGTTTCAATTTTATTAATGCTTCATCAGAGAATGAGATATGAAGAAAAAGAAGAGAGAAATTCTGGTATTTTTACTTTTATGTGGTTTGATTTTCATTGGTTAAGCATGTTTCACAGGCATTTGAGTTATTAAACAAACATTAGTATATTTTGTGGTATTTTTAATTCCAGGAAACATGACGCATCCATCCAAAGCCTACCTGGAAAACCATAAAATATATAAGACAATTTGGAAAACTTCCATTTCTGATAATGTCCATTCACTAGTTAAACATATCATAATGAAATTTTTTAAATCATCTTATAGATGGACACATACATACAGTCTGAGATGGATAGATAGATAAATGAGATTATTATAGATGAGTATATATATATGAGAAAATCAAATTTCTTACAGTACCTTTCTAAAGATGATAATCAAAACAATGTAAAACGGCTTACCTGAAAAAAAAAAAGAAAAATATTTGCCACATCAATTATATTACATCAGATAAAACAATATTTTTAATTAAACGCCTAAAAAATTCAGAAGCAATTCAATTTCTTTTATCAAGTTGAGATCACAAGTTTCTAAAACTTTTCCACAAAGTAATTAATAAACTCAATACAAGACAATCAGATACAATATAATGGCTTTGATGGTTAAAAATGTATTTGAGCAAGTGAAGCCTCTGGGTCTTGAAAACCATACTTTTTTGAATCTTGTGGACTGGCACTACAAAATCACAAAGAACTGTATCAAATAACAGAAACCACATCACTTGAGGACTTCTGACAGCTAAAATGGGCAGCACATACAACTCAAAGCGATAATAATGACTTAATCAAGATGTTGACATTCTACAATATTTCAAACAAAAGGTTAGGAAGGAAATCCACATCTATACTGGAAAGAGCAATAACAGCTACTGGATTTGAGAAATGTAATTTCTTGAAAAATTGTTTTAAGAGAAAGATTTTGTAAGTTTTCACTATAAGCAGAACTGACTGCTCAGTCAATGAATACCAAATATTTCCTTATAAGGAAATGGCTAATATTAGCATTAAAATACATAATGGAATTTAAGCATGCCTCTAGTTCCCACCCATTTACTGTTGAAATAGCCAAATGCAACTGCCACTTCTATCCCAACATTTTCTTTTCTTGCACTCCCCACATATGGAACTCCCTCTTGTTTACTTGCTTCCCTGATAAACACAATCTTCAAAAATTTAAATGCAACATTAATTGCCAGCTTCTATCTTCTTGAATTCCATTCATCTTTTGTCCTTTCCTCAATCCTCCCTATACTCAGTCTTTTCTCTCATTTTTACACTCTGTAATCCCCTGAGTACTAGTAGCATTCCCACCTTGCTTGGGGTGGAGTTGATGCATTTCAGATTCAAAGGTATATAAACAGATAAAATTCAAGTACTTCATTTTGATGTATTGAATGTCACATTTATGGACAAAAAGAATGTGGGTGAGCACAAATATTGACCCATTAGCCTCCTCAGTGTTATCAGCAAACTCATAAAAGTCCTCCTGAGCGACCAACAATATACATTTAATTCAGCTATTTCCACTGCTGATGTCCTGTCATTACTCACAGAATGAGGCACTAGATAATAAATTCATCCCAAGGATATATACCTTGGATATATGAAATATTTTTCACAAGGTGTAGTATAGGGGGTGGGGGTGGCTATGCAAACTCTACAGCTATGGAATCTCTGGAAGGCTTTTCTTAATTATCAAGTCATTTTTAACAGGGAGGTCCACAATGGTTATTGTTACTAGCCAGTCATGAGATCAAAGTAGGCATTCCCCAAAAATCTTCCCTGTCCTACCCTTTTTTGGCTTTGTGTCAACGATCTGCCATAGAACATACTCAAATCTTTAGTGAAGATCTATACAGTTGATACAATATTGTTTAGGTGCAATTCCAAAAATTTAGATGACCAGTGCCTTAAAGCTCAATGGGAGAAAGATTGGCTAGAGATAGATAGATAGATAGACAGATAGATAGAAATAGACTGAATAGATAGATAGATAGATAGATAGATAGATAGATAGATAGATAGATATAAATAGACTGACATAGATAGATATGTATTGACTGACATAGATATGTATTGACTTTGATAGATAGATAGATAGATAGATAGATAGATAGATAGATAGAAATAGACTGTCATGTTTAGTGTTTAGGTTCAATTCTAAACATCTAGATGACCAGAGCTCAGTGGCTTGTAATGTTCAATACCTCCAAAACCAAACAAGAAACGTTCCACCATCATGGAACTGAGCCTGAACTTTATCCTATCAGGATGAATGGTTTTTCTCTCAAGGAGGGTCCTTGACTTGAATGCCTATTGGGACTCAAGTTTACTCCATATCTCTAATGGAACTCATATAAATGGACCATAATGAAAGATACTGGAAAATTGATCAGTTCATTGTAACACTCCAGTAAACACCTGACTCCTCGTACTACTATACTCAACTTTTTCCAGAGCCAAAACATACAGCTACCATATTAGGTCTGGAGTTGCCTAGTCCTCAATCCAGTGTTGATAGAGTCCAAATGCATCTATGTGACCTTGAGGGTGATGAATTATTTCTATCTTGCTATTTCCATGGCAAATGTTCTGATGAGCTACATTCATTAATTCCACAAGTTATGACCTTCACAGCTAACACCCACAATTCTGTGTACACAGCGATGAATTATCTCCATTCCGTTCATATTCTATTTGTAAGTAGGAAGATCAAATTTCCAAGAACCACAAGCTTGTGGCACAGGCATAGCTAGAGTGTGTGCCGCCCTGAGCAAGCCATGAGTTTGCCACTCCTCCCCTACTTCCCCCCACAAAAATACAGCATATTGCCCAGTGACCCCCTTTTATATCACACACACACACACACACATATATATATATATAAAGGAATCCACTGTGCAATATGTTGTATGTGCAATATATGTATATATATATATATATATATATATATATATATATATATATATATATGCAAACATATACACACATACACACATATATACATACATACATACATACATATATATATATATATATATATATATATATATATATATATATATATATATATGTATTAAATAATACAGCTTAATTAATACTGTAAAACAGTCATTCAAAGAATAAATCAATAAAGTTAATGTAATTAATGGTGAACACACTTTGCTAACAGATTAAGTTACTAACCATTCACTTAACGATAAGATCCTTGTTTTCATTAATTGTACAATGGATTAGATGTTTAGACCATATTGCTTGCAAGTAAAAACATTTACCATCCTCAAGCATAGTTGTTATTTTTTCTCAATTTCAGGTCATTTCGGGTAAAATTCCAAGACAAAAATGGGAATGATATTGTCGAAAGATGTTTTATTAAAAAGTGTGCTATTATTAAGAATTTTTTGAATGTGCAGTAATGCAATGCTAG